TCTGTGCAAAAAATTCCATGGTTTTTGTTGACAACTCTTTCAGGCAAAGGTGTGCCATTTTTTGCCTGAGACCCTCAAGACATTCATGTGCAGCTGAAAAGGGTTTTCTCCTTTGTAGCAGTAAATCCTGTCTGAAAATCCACCTCTTAGACCTCCTGATGTAATGACCTTTTGAGTCCTGTTTTGTCACTGACAACAGACTTGGTGAGTGGGAACAAGGACTTGGGGGACTTTCCCAATTAAGTACATAAATGGAGAATAAAAGTCTTGGTTTATAAAAGAAAGTAGAGTCAGACCCTTGGCTGCTGTGGCCGCATCAAGAAGCTTTAATTTCAGCAAATTTAGAAAGTAGGTAAACAAAATCAACCCAAAACATTTAAACTTCAAGAAATAATAACTAGTCTGTTAAAGATAGTGGAAAGATCATGGTGTTCTTTTCCTTTGTCTTAGTAGGGTTGCTCTTTATGGAGTATTTTTCATGGCAAGCTTTAGAGCTCTTGCTGCCTGGTATTAAATCTTCTTTTAGCTTTTCTGTGGCCTTAAATATATCAGCATCAATTTATTGACACCCAAAACAATCCAATTCCTTCTCAATCTTCGTGGTAGGTGAAACTTCACTGTTTTGGGTTTCATATTGCTGATCCATGTGTTTCAGACTGGAGATGGGATTATTCTGTCCAGATTTAGATACCCACAGTGTAGATGTCAACAAACAAGCTCAGAATTCCTTTACACTCTGGGAGAGGAGCTGGAAGTTTAAAGGAGATGGTTAAAATAGGTCAGACAAAACACTTCTTCACATGTCTGCTTCTCTCTGTGGATAAAAAAGGAAACTTGACAATGAGCTCATGTGTGAGGATGTCTCTCCCATGTTTCTAAAATTAGGAGACATGTCCTAGGTCACTGAGGGGCTGATTTCCTAATTCTGCTCATTGCTGTTGAGCAGGAACAGGAGGAAGGGACACTGTGCCTTTTAAATAAATGATGTAGCTGGAACACCACATTTAGGAACTTACAGGAGGGAAATTATAAAATGCGGTGTGTTTTTGAGAGCCTAAAGATAGAAAAATATTGGGTGCATAATGAAAAGTTTTCCAGCCCTCAGGAGAGCTGGTCAGGGGGTTGGAACACCTCTCCTGTGAATTCAGGCTGAGAGTTGGGACTGTGCATCCTGGAGAAGAGAAGGCTCCAGGGAGACCTTAGGGCACCCACCAGTACCTAAAGAGGGGTTAAAAGTCTGGAGAGGAACTTTGTGTGTCATGAAAATCCAAGGGGGAATGGCCTTAAACTGAAGGAAGGTAATTGAGATTAGATAATAGGAAGAGATTCTTTGCTGTGATGTTGGGGAGGCACAGGAACAGGCTGCCCAGAGAGGTTATGATGTCCAAGGCAAGAAATCTGCTCTAGTGGAAGGTGGCCCTGTCCATGGCAGGAGGTTGGAATGATGATCTTTGAGGTTCCTTCCAACCCCAAGCCATTCTAGGATTTCATAATCACCTGTTCATGTATTTTGCACCCAGTAATCCTCCACCTGTGTTTATTCTTCAAAGAGAAATGTTCTTCATGTCTCTAAGAAGCATTGGAGTAACTGTGCATGGAGTGGTTGACTTTTTTTTCTGAAATGTATTCTGTGACCATGTTCGCAGGGGTCTTAGGGTGAGGGAAGAGACGAGGATCTGACTCCATGTTTCAGAAGGATTGATTTGTTATTTTATATATTATATTAAAACCATACTAAAAGAATAGAAGAAAGGATTTCATCAGAAGGCTGGCTAAGAATAGAATAGCAAAGAATGATAACAAAAGCTGGTGTCTCAGACAGAGTCCAAGCCAGCTGACTGTGATTGGCCATTAATTAGAAACAGCTCTATGAGACCAATCCCAGATGCTCCTGTTGCATTCCACAGCAGCAGATAATCAATGTTTACATTTTGTTCTTGAGGCCTCCCAGCTTCTCAGGAGGAAAAATCCTAAGGAAAGGATTTTTCATAAAAGATATCTGTGACAGTATTCAGTCTGCAAAACCTCAATTTCTCCTGCACATTGTCAGAAGGTTTCAGATTTCCTCACCTGGGCAGGAGCTTGGTTGTGGGGCAGGGAGAGGATGGGACAGAAGGCCCTGGACCCTGAAGTGAGATGAATTAAGTGATGAATTCCCAATTTATCATCATTGGTCTAAACCATTGTGGATCATTTTGAAATGTGTTGGTTTCCTTTCAAACCACTGGCACACGTCCCAGAGGACCACAGGAAGGAGCCCAGCGGACCAGGTGGTTTATTTTGGGTGAGATCTCAGTAAGAGCTCATAACTGCCTTAGAAACCACAAAAAATCCTTTCATTCATCAGAAAATTTCCTCAACTTCATTCATCCAGTGGGTGCACTCTGTGATGCTGTATAACAATTTCACCCACATTTAATATGGGGACTTTTTATCCTTTTGAGCAGTGATTTATTAACTTTTTATGCCTCCCTGGGAGTAGTCCCATAGTACCTTGAAAGGTTTCACTGTGTGGTTTTGTTCATTATTGACATCAGATTGTGCACCTATGGGCTTCTCATGGAGGAATTGTCCTCACCAGCCTCCAGAGAACTTTTTAGATGGAGAAAGAAATGGGGGCTTGCAGCAGAACAAGTTTTGTCAGAGCTTTTCCAACCTGCCCTTGAAGCAATTTAGATGCTTTCATAAAGAATCTGCTGTGGCACTGAAAGCAATTCCCGTGGACAAATTCACCTTCAGAGGGGATGAATTATTTTTTAAGTCACTAGGTGACCAGAACAACGTTCTTTTCTTTTTTCTTCTTCCTATATATCAGCCATGATTGAAATAAACCCCTGAAATCCATTCTGTTTTAGCAATAATCAGCTGATTTGCTGTCTCAGACACTTCTACAGCCCTTCTGTTTCACCATAGATAACTGAAGATTATTTTGAGGAAGTGTTTATCCATAAGTGAAAGGTGCAACCCCTCTGTTATTGGCTCTTCTGACTTCACTAATTTTAATTACAGTGGCAGATGCAGATAAAACAACCACATGAAGCATCAGTAATGAAATTATGGGATTTATCAACCAGTGACATCAGAAGAAAATATAATCATTCAAGCTTCCCTTTCAAGTTCAATACTGATATAATTATTTCTTTTTCTCAACACTGAGTGGTAATGCTTTATCAGCATTACCTATATATTTTAAAAAAAGTTTATTTTTCTAGTATAACATAGGTGATAGTAGTTATTGGGGAACAAGCTGGGCTTTAATTGGTGATAGAGATAACTACCCTTTAATTGATAATAGAGATAAGTAGCACTTAATTAGTTATAGGTGGACTCTGAATGTATGTATAACATACATGACAGGAGCAGCTCAGCAGTATAAAAGGTTCTGCTGCAGGTCCAGGGCAGAAGTTCTGGAAGTTGTTATTCCCTAATAAACACTCCACTCTCCCTGGATGACACCAAGGCCTCAGCTCAGTATTTGGTGCAGGTTTCCATGACTACATCGAAGGCAAAAAATGAAATTGAGTCTTTTATTTTCCCTGCAATATATGAGAGAAAAGCCATGGAATGGTTTGCAGATGTTCTTGTTGTCTCTTCAGAGGCTCCTTTGACACTCAGACAAGACAGAAAACAGCCACCCTCCACTTTTCAAACCTAGAGATTGCCAGGTTAAAGTAAAAAGAGGGTTCTAAATGTCACCCCTTTTCCCCCAGGGCATCTGTATGTGTCCATCTCTTAGCCAGGCATCTCCCACCCTTCTGCTGCATTTTGATCATTTCCTGATGAATTACAGAATGAAAGGACAGAATCCAACCTCCCCACCCCTCTCTGGCTTTTCTGGGCTGAGCTGCACACGGGAGTGCAAATGATCAGGAAATAATTTCAATGCCTCTGTCAATGCTAATGCCTCTGTCTGGTTTTGTCTTGCTGCTGTTAATGGAATTCCGAGTCCTCACGGCTGAATGTCACCAGGGATGTTTGCTGTCCTCCTCAGCTGAGATCTTATCAATTGCTCATTATTTGATAAACCATCAGAAATACAGTTAAGTAATTAAATTCAGTGCCAGAACGGAGCGTGAGTGACTGATCAAGTGAGGATAGAAGAAAACAGATCAGTTTAGAGTGAATTTCGTGAATCATTGTTCTCCCAAAATTTAGAGAGAGATTAATTTTCCTCTTTTAATTTTTAATTGAAAGACTCCCTCCTTTCTAAATGCTGATGTCCTGGCAGTGTGTTGCAGTCTGTATAAAACTTGAGTGTCAGTATAAAACTTGAATGTCCTTTGGTTCTAAAAGTTATTTTACAAGTCATTCCTTTACAATCAAAGTAAGATGATGAGAAATAAATCCAAATCTTAAACCACATTCCCCCTAGTCCTCAATTCTTTGAAGGCAGAGGTCAAGCAATGGAAAGCACAGATATGGATGACATTGTTGTTCCTATAAATCATTCCTGATTATGTCCTGGATGAATCCTTAGCCTGAGACTACAGTTCATTCTTTTGCCCCCCTACTGCCAAGTTCTCAGAAAGGTTATTAACAAGCCTATTAACAGGTTATTAACAAGCTTATTAACAGGTTATTAACAAGTCTGGGAATGGATTTTGTTATCTGGACAACCTTTCTTGGAAGCCAGACCCCTAAAAATCCCTCAGACAATTTTGCTTTTAAGACACTACTGAAAATCATGAAGTGCAATGCTCAACTTCAGACAGGTCTTTTTTTTTCTTGTTCAAAATAATCCACCCTTGCTCCTCTCCTGGGTACAGTTTAGGTGTTTGCAGCTACAGAACCTATTCCAGCATTTCTTTGACACAAGTTACTGATCACTTTTTGCCTTAAAATTAGATATCCAAGACCACCTTTAACATCTACAAAAGCCTTGTTGATCTCTTATAAGTGCCACTTGCAGTTCAAGTGTTGGGTTCTCCATTTTCTGACCATTTCTTTTTCATTCTCTCCATGGTTTACATATTTATAATAATTTCCCTCTTTTGTTGCAGAGATCTTGATGTGAAGACCTCAAAATATCAGCAGAGCCTTTGCTTCAGCCCTAATCTCAGTGTTAATGAGCAAAACTTGTCCAAAATTAGGAGAGAAGATGGCCATCAACTGGAAGGTCTGCTTCTTCAGCCTCGTATTGCTTCCTGTGGTAAGGAAAAATTATTTTATTTGCATTATTCTGATAGAAATCCATGTTCTCCAGGCCAGCATTTGACAAGAAGGAAGGATCTGCTGCTGCCACTGATTTTGAATTTTTCTGGGTGGTCTCATAGTTTGGGTTAAGACTTTTCCAGCCTCTTTTGTTAATGAATTAGGGCTGTGATCATTGCTCATCCTGAGAAGGGCAAGTCCATCCCTTGAGGGCATTTGTTCACTGTTTTTAACCAAGATTCAAAATAAAATAAAGTCATAATTAGAAAAAAAAGCAAACAAAAAAAAAAAAAAAAAAAAACAAAAACCAAAAACCACAGTATGTCTTCTGTTTCAAATCCATTGGTTTAAAAATATTTTTATTTCCAGACAGAGGGATAAAATTAAATATACCCTTTGTTCCCCCTGCTATGAAACTTAAACCTTGAGATAATCCAGGCAGTGCTTTTGGAGGCCTCCATTTTGAGAGGAGCAATTTTAAGAAACAATACAAATGGGCCTCTAAAGATACTAAAGGCACTTAAAGTCATCCATCATCCTTCTAAAGATATTCAACTCTTTATGAAGATGACAGGGATTAATTTTCCCCACAAGTCTTTGCTTGCTAAACAACGTGCTCTTCCATTAATAACTCTGTGTTAACACATCTGGGAACTGTAACTCTCCCTCTCCATTGTCCCCACACACAGTGACTGTACCTCTCCTCACAAAACAGCCACAAAACCACTGAAAAAAGATTTTTTTTCTCTTTGTAGCTGTGAGAAATCGTACACAAACCCTGCAATAACCTTTTGTTGCATTCAGCACAATTCTGTGTTAAACCATTGCTCACAAATGTGCTTTTCATCACTTCTCCAGGAGCATTGCTCACAGGGATTCAGTGACAAACAGCACCAGGATTTCAATCCTCCCGCTCATTCCCCTACAGAGCCTTCTACAACTTCCATGCAAATGCTTTACACTTGCTTAATACACAGAACATTTTCACATTGGTGCATTTTAATAGTCAGTATTTGAAAGAATTCATGACATTTAGTTGGTTTTATTTTTAAATGACAGCTGTTTATTGTGATGCTGGTGTGACCAGAGCATCTTCTAGCAGTTTTTGCAGAGTATTTTGCTATTGTGCATCATTGTCTTCTACAATGCATAGCAGGCAGCACAGAGAACTTGGTTTTACTTTGGCACACAAAAATACATTTTCTTTCCTCTTGGCTCTTATTTAGAGTCCATTTCACTGCACATCTGAAACCTGGCATAATTCAGCTAAATTCTGTAGAATTGCGTTGGAACTGGTTCCATAGTTGTGTTCATCCAAATAATACAGTCCTTTACATATAAATATATGGCCTTGGAATTTTTATCTAGAGCATGGCTCCTGTGACTTTTCCTTTGATTTCCTGCTCAGGTAGAAATGATTACTTATTAAAAACTGAGTATGTTTAATTTTTATAATACATTTCTACCTAAGTTAATGGGGAGAAAACCCCCCAGATTTAATCTGTTTTAGGTACTGTGAGATTCCTGATTATAAAAGGAGTTTAGCTCAAATTCAGATGCTTGTTTTGGTCATAGAAGTGTTGATGACATGGATCCTGCCCTAGGAGAAACTGGAAAGCTGAATTCCTGGCCGTGCAAGCATATTTTTTCAGACTGCAACCAAAATAATTAAATGATCAAAAGACAAAAGGCATTTTTGTTGAATGACCAACAGCCTTCAATATTTCAAGATTTTCAGTGCTTGGCTCGAGACCCTTGAAAGGTGTCTCGTTATTTAGAGGTGAGCAGTTTTTAATTAAGGGAAATAAATGAACAAATCTCTTGAGCTCTCAGATGGGTGACCTTCCTGGCAGATGGGGAAGGACAGAAAATTCCCAATTGCTCGCATTTCAGGACATCACTGTGGTTGCTGAGCTGGATAATTAGTGATCAGCTCCAGCTTGTGGAAAGAACAGTTCTTAATGAAATACCAAATAGCAAACCAGAGCTAATAAGAAAAAAAAAGGGTTTTTTTTGCTGCTTCTACAAAGTTTGTGAATTTTTTTTATGATTATAAGGTTTTACTGCAGTCTTTTGCAGGAATCCAGACATTAAAGTTAACCATTTAAAACATGTGAATTTGTGTGTTTGCTCACCACAGAGATTACACAATAATTTGTGTATAAGTATTCATTTCGCATTGAATCATTGCATTTCTTTTCACAGACCAGATTTCAGGAATGATAGAATGTTATTTCTGTTTCTTCCCTTGCTGTCATTCTTTTGCAGTTCTTGTGGTAACACATTTCTCTCCACTGGGGCACACCCTTTCCCTGTGAACCATCTGCAATGTGCAGTGCTCCTGACCTCAAATTGGCACTTCTCTGTCATGCAGATTTTCCAATTTTCTACCAAGGGAGGGGATGTGACTTTTAAAACAATTGGAGCAATTGAAAGTCATTTAAACTCCACCATGTTCCTGGAAAAATCTGTTTGTATAGTGCTTTCCTCCAAGCACATCTGGTCAGACCCATTTTACCCGCAAAAGCCCCAAAATTGATGTCCACATCCATAAACAAATCAAGAAAAGACAAAAAGAGAACCAAGTATGAATGGGAAATTCCAGGTGGCTTCAACCATAGGCTCTGACCAGACAACAAGAATATAATGTGCTAAGAAATAATTCAAAAGGAGCATTTTAAGCCAGTTCTAACTGGCAGAGTCAAGGGTGGTTCAGTTTTTCATGTGCTTTACACAAAAGCCGTTCTGCATTAACCTAACCTATGAACCCCTCAGGACTGAAGGCACCATGATGCCTGCAAAGCCTTTAGAGGAATTCTTGAGCTTTGCTTTTTTCTGCCATTTCAGTGCTTCTCTAGATTTAAATACCTGTGTTGCTATTTTAGCTGGTTTTAACCCATTTCTTTCAGCTAGCTCTCCTCTTCCCAGTAATTTCCATTCTTTGCTTTGGATGAAACTGAACAACCTGGGATAGTTGGGAGCAGTCCCTGTCCATGGCAGGGGGCTGGAACTGGATGGTTTTTAAGGTCCCTTCCAACCCAAACCTTTCTAGGATTCCATCATGTCATTTTTTTTTGGCATTTTGATTCTTCAGACTGGCATTTGGATTGACTTTGCATTCCATTCATCTGTGATAACATCGGGCTATGTGCTGTTGGTTTGGGGTTTTTTTTAATTGGAAAATATTAACAAAAGTCATCATAAAATTATGGAGAAGAAAGGATCCCAAACCATCATTCCTTTGTCTGGTTCCAAATGTACTTGAGAAAACAATGAGTTTCATGACTCACAAAGTTGGCTTGGTGTATGAACTGAATTTTAAATGTAACTGCAATGCAGGTGTTCTAACTGTCCAGAATAATTCCATCTGATGCATTTCTTCACCTAATACTTGGAATTTCTTGTGAGCATGTATTTAATATTGCTACACTTAAATGTTTCCAGTGGCAGAATATTCTGTGTAATGTTTGATCAGCTGGGGAAAAAGTTCTCTGTGATGTGTTCTCGGGTTGAGGGAAGAGATGAGGAT